ACCCTTTAGAGGGCAGCTAATATAACTCAGAGCTAAAATGCTTCTTTCAAAAAGACTCTTTACCAACATCTAATTTTATCTGATATTTAAAAACAAATCATGATAGATAGATAGATAGATAGATAGATAGATAGATAGATAGATAGATAGATAGACTTTTATTGTCACTTTTTTGTGTGTACAATGGCACACATTAAAATGAAATTCAGATGTCCTCTCTCCCTCCCTCCCTCCCTCCCTATCTCTCTCTCTCTCTCTCACTCTCTCTCTCTATATATATATGTGTGTGTGTCTGTGTGTGTGTGTGTGTTTTGAATACATGTGCTCAAAAGATGTGTTAGAAATATTAGTCCCAACTCGCACATTCTGGGGTGTATCAATGTGAAAATCCAATTGCACAAAGGAGTAGTAAACCCTAAAGGCTTGTGTACAGTTTTGTATTAAACGCTATGGGGTGATTGTATTCAAAGCCAAACTAAAATCGACAAATGGCATTCACACATGAGATTTTTTTTCCTCTTAAGTGCGCCAAGCTCAGATGGGGAACAGCAGAGGAAATAGCATCCTCTGTGGAGCAATTCACCCGATAAGCAAACTGAAGCGAGTCAAACGCTGGAGAGAGGCTGGATAGATTAAAGTACTTTTATCAGCCTTTCGAAACGTTTCACTGTGATGGATGTAAGTGCAGCCAGACGATAATCAGAGTGGTGAAGGAGGGGAAAGGCAGATGAATCAATAATACTGTTTTTCCCTCATTTTTCAGGTTGATGGTGGCAATTTGAAGCTCATCCGAGGGGTGGACATAAGAGGACAGGGTGCGGCCTATGCCTGTGAAGGATGTTGAAGAAAAGTAGCCTGATTGCCTGGGGCCTGGTGCTTTTTGTGGCCTGGAACGCCCTGATCCTTTTCTTCCTGTGGACTCGGCCACAGTATCTATCGGACCATAGCCGCTTAACTGAAGAGGTGATCCGACTGGCCCAGGATGCCGAGGTAGAATTAGAGCACCAAAAGGAGCTTCTACATCAGATCTACCGCTATAGTGCACTCTGGAACAAACGGAAGGCCAAAAACCTCCACCTGTCGGTCCAGCCTCCCACAGCTGTGCTCTTGCCCCAACACAATCAGATATCCCCCGATGCCGTTTTGCCTGTGGTGGTGATTGCCTGTGACCGCAGCACAGTCCGCCGTTGTCTAGATAAACTATTGCATTACCGCCCCTCAAAGGAGCGATTCCCCATCATTGTAAGCCAGGACTGTGGGCATGAGGAAACCGCTAGAGTCATTGCCTCCTATGGAGATTCTATCATGCACATCAAGCAGCCCAATTTAAGTGACATCCCTGTGCCTACCGACCATCGCAAGTTTCAAGGATACTACAAAATTGCCCGACACTATCGCTGGGCCTTGAGCCAGGTTTTCCGGACTTTCAAATACCAAGCAGCCATTGTAGTGGAAGACGACTTGGAAGTCGCTCCTGATTTCTTTGAATATTTTCAAGCGAGTTTCCCGCTTCTACTGGCTGACCCAACTCTTTGGTGTATCTCTGCCTGGAACGATAACGGCAAGGAACAGATGGTGGACGTTGCCCATCCCGAACTTCTCTATCGTACTGATTTTTTCCCTGGTCTGGGCTGGCTTCTGCTCTCTGACTTGTGGGACGAGCTGGAACCCAAGTGGCCCAAGGCTTTCTGGGACGACTGGATGCGACAGCCTGAACAGCGGCAGGGCCGTTCGTGCATCAGGCCTGAAGTGTCACGCACAATGACTTTTGGCCGTAAGGGCGTGAGCCACGGTCAGTTCTTTGACCAATATCTGAAGTTCATCAAGCTCAATGACCGTTTTGTGCCTTTCACCCAGATGGACCTTTCTTACCTCAAGAAGAATAACTATGAACACTCATTCTTGGCCCAGGTCTATGATGCCCCTCAGCTGCGTGTCGAAGAATTACAGGGGAACCAGCGCCGGGAGTTGGGTACTGTCCGAGTGCAGTACACCACTCGTGACTCTTTCAAGGCCTTTGCGAAAGCCTTGGGTGTTATGGATGACCTCAAATCAGGAGTGCCCCGTGCTGGGTATCAGGGCATTATCAGCTTCCTTTACCGAGGCCGCCGTGTTTTCCTGGCTCCTCCTCCTGGCTGGACAGGCTATGACCCCAGTTGGAGTTAGCAGCTGATGATTTTTGAGCATGTTGGACCCCATTGGGGAAAAGGGTGCTGGGGGGGCGGGGGCAGAATTCTGTATTTTCTTCTCTTGTGTGGCATTCAAGGTGCATTCCAGGAATGAGGATTGTTTTGTGCACTTAATTTGGGGGAGGAGTTCATGGCAGGAGGGATAGGTTACTGGGGGTGGTGGTGGTGGTATTCCAAAGCCCCAACATCGTAGGAGCGTTCTGGGTTCTCTGTTCTCTCCCCAGTGCCTGCCTTCCTTCTTGACAATGCTGCCCATCCACTGATTAGATCCTTGGTAGCTTGTCCAAATTGGTGCATTTTGAGGTCAAAGTGAATGCTAAACCAAAGCAGTGACCCACTGAAGTTTTCCCAGTTTTGTTGAGATATGCAGCAGGCCAGAGCAACTTGTGATCTCACACGGCAGACGTAACTCCTCAATCAAATAGTGTGTTTGGCCACAGACTTCATACATATCTTTAAATTCACAGCAAAATGGGGAAGCTTGTTAAGTTGCCGAGAAACTATGATTCAAAACCGGCACTCTGTGTTCAACATGATAGGCCACAGGTAAAGCTGTAGGGAGAACATCAAAGGTTTTTTTCCTCAGCTCTTGGCGGCTGCTTCGCCTCTCACCTGGGCACCTGTAAGGTTTGGAAAGCAGGAAGCTCTTTTGGATGATCATTGAACCCTCAAAAGGACCATCTTTATTGACCATATTGGCCATTTTTATGTTGATCTCTTAGATATCCTAATTGAACCCTATTGAATGGGACATTGGAGATACAATGTGCACAATGACAAACTTAATATGATTGTCACTCAGATGAGATGGAAAGGAAAGTCAGAGCCTCTTTTTATTGCTTTTATTTGGGCACTAGGATAGAGTAGTCAGAGAGCATGTGCTACATGCTACCCTTTTTATAGCTCCATGCTAGCACCTGTTAACTTTAGCTTAAATAAAGTTTTGGGTGGAGGCGGGCATTTTCTTCTCATCCTCTTACCTGGTATTGAGATACATGAAAGCCTTGACTTTGCAGCCTTCTAGCCAGTGCCTGCTGTCAAATGGTCCTTTTTCTCTAAGCTACAACGGGAAACGATGAGCTGCAAGTGGGCCATGAAATTTGAAAGCGGTGCTGGGGGAGGAAGGCCTAAGGCTAGCTCTTTATGGCGCGTGAGGGAGCAGTCAGACCTTTCAGCCTCCACTTGTCACCTGAAATGATAAGAGGCTTCCGGTATATCTCTTTAAGGGAAGCCGACCGATGGCTTGACGTCGGTGCCATGTCCTCTTCCCAGGTTTATGAGGAGAACTTGCCCAAGGCTGCCTTAATTTGCCTGGTGTAGGAACTTCATCCAGATCTACGGCGGAGTGTGCTGTTGCATTTTTTTTAATTGCTGTGGTTTTTTGTTTCTGAATGGCCATATTGGAATTGGTCACTGCTACGTATTTACTAAAGTAGAGTGGAGGGAGGAGACTCCTTGAGGCATTGGAGCATCTCATGAAAGGACTTCTCCAAGCAAGGAGTCCAGCCTTATTCCGTGGGGCACAGTCCAGTCTTCCCCATTCTTGCCTTAGGGAGTTGCCGCTGAGCTGCTCCAGATGCCACTTTATGAGGCAGGCATGAGGAAGTGACTTCAGACCTCCTTTGGCCAAAATTTAGACCACACCAAAAGGTATATTGTGTTGTTTGAATGCTTATTACTTTCTCTCTTTAAAAAAAAATGCGTAAGGCCACCTCTGTGGTGAATGGAGGAGGGAAGATTGTGTTTTGGCATTTCACTTCCGTGAGGGGAGTTTTTTCCTTGTGTATTTGCTCCTCTGGTTGGGCAAGTGGGCAGATAGGAGGAGATGGTGCCTTGGGGAGACTGCTTTGAATGGTTTGCTGCATCTGCTTAAGTCCTGAGATTTTTCTTTTGGGGGGGGGGGGAAGAAACTAATGCTGCAGAGGAAGAGGCTTTCTAAAAAAAATAATTTAAAAAAAAGACTGACTGTGATCTGCATCTGGGATGTTGATAATTTGGACATGTTCATACCTTGATTTCGCTTTAATTCTCTGCAAGAGACTACCGTTTAACAATTTTCTAGGTCAGGCTTCCATTTGAAAAAAAATGTATAAAGTAGGGCAGAAATGTGTATAGACCATGAGTGGAAATGTCTCTGTGGATAGCAAAGATCTTTCAGCATGATGCTACTCACCTTTAATAACATCCTGAATATACATGCAGAAATGATCCCTCGAGTCGTCCATTTGCAATCTGGTCCCCATCGGAACCATTGTGCTCTTACCTTATCTGGACGCGGAGGGTGTGTGAGGAGGAGGAGAGGGTTGTAATGGAAAATCAGATTATTATTATTATTATTATTATTATTTTGCTGATTATTTTAATCCCTACTTTCAAGATTTGCTGGATGCTGGGTGAAGAATTGCCATTTTTAAAACTAGAAACAGCAAGAGAGCTGTTTTTACTTTTAGTATTATGTTCTGGGACTCGGCCTGGATGTCTCAATTTGCAAGTTATACTGCCATCTCCTTTCAGTAGAAGGCAGCTACTGAACTTACAGTGGAAGGGAGGGGAAAATGGAAATTTCTTTTCGGGTTCCTTCCTTTCATTTCTGTCCCCTGGTGCTCAGTCAGCCAATCAATCATGGAAATGAAAATAGGAGGATAGAGATACTATATATCATGGGTCCCTCCCCACCAATCCTCAGTTCTGTGTAACTTAATCCACACCATCTGTAGCCCAAACTCTCTCCTTTGGCCTACTGTCCGTGTTAGTGTTTTGTCCTGGATCACAGTGAAATGATCATATTTCCCATTCCAGTTTGTGATTTTGGTGAAACAATTGGAAGATGCTCAGCGGAGATCCCAGCAGAAAGGAAAACCCACCAGCAGCCACACCATTTTTCTCCCTTTCTGTCCTGCGCTGCCTTCTGTTCCTGAAAATATCTCTGCTGAAAAATAAGTGTCATCACATCTGGATGTTTGAATCAAGGTTGTTGGATGGAGAGACGCTAATTTTATGTTGACAATTGGTGAGAAGAGCTTAAAAAAGCAAAAAAAGAATTATTTTCCACAATAAAATAAAAACCGTTCCTTTTCAGACAACCTGTGTGATTGATCTCATGCAGCAATTTATTGCGTTGGTAATGCTTTAAGTGGAACTCGACAAAGGAGACGGCGGGGGTGGGGGGGGAATAACAATGTCTCTTTAGAGGCATACGTGACCATTTGTTACTCTCCACTTGAACCAGGAAAAACTCCTGGCATCCAAAGTGGCATTTCTAGGCATGTCAAATATATCTTTACATGAAATGGGATCAAGACCCTTTTCTCTGTTGTTCCAGAGCGTGGGACATGGGATATTGGGTTTAAGTTACAGGAAGACGAATTCCAATTGTTTTTTTCACTGTGATGTTTTTTTCTAGCTTTTTGATAGGGCTAACTAGTCGAAGCAATGGGCAACCGTCTCTCGAGGATGCTCTAGACTAGAGTTTGGGTTGCATTGAGCAGAGGGTTGGACACAGTGGTCTTAAGTGTTCTATTTCTTCAATTTTACCTCCAGGTTTATGAAGATAGATCAGGTGTTTTTCAACCTCAGCAATTTTTAAGACGTGTGGGGAATTCTGGGAGCTGAAGTCCACACGTCTTAAAGTTGCGGAGGTTGAGAGAGACTGCCCTATAGCAACAAGGAGTATTCTGTTATGGGAATCCCAGGTACCACTCATTTACCTGCTGATATTTTCCCAAACACNGATGACAAGCACAAATCAAAAAATTTTTAGGGTTAGGGTTATAATGTACGTATACGCATCCCATTATGTTAAAGACCCAGCACACTCACTGGGCTGTCTATAGTTTGTTGATGATGCAATTTTGTTGGCGCGCATTTGTCGGTGCGCTATTGTCGAAAATCAGTTAGCGATTTTGACGGCGCTCATTTGTCCATCACAGTTTTGTCATCACGCATATGTCTATCGCACATTTGTCGATGAACAAATTTGTATCTATTATGTGCTCGTGTATTGTTGTGGTTGAAGTTGAAGTAGTCATTGACAGATAGGACATTGTAGTGGATAATTTTAAGGTTTTGTGGAGGTAAAAAACATAATGAAAATGATATGTTAAGATGAGTAAAAGATTCTGGTGATAAAATTCAGAAAAAGATATGTGAGGATCTGTCATCCCTGTGCATACTACTACTTCCTGTCCCCACTAACATAAAAGGCAGTACTGTTATTATTTACTCAGGGCAAGAAAAGGTTCATTTAATCTAATGAAGTTAGGATTAGGCTGTCTTCCTTTCCAAACCTACCTATTTGGAAGGCCTACCAGAATTGGGGAAAAGAGATACGGTATTTTAGGAAGGTATTTATTTTACCCTGCACTACTGAAATGAAGGATCTCTTTGTCTTCTTATCATTGGTTTGAGCCCGGCTTGGCACATAAGGAAGTGGATTTCCCTGCCTGCCAATACAAGGAATGATAAACTTTTGTTCATTTTCTTCTTCTAGGTTTAATGGAGTTACGGCATCTATATGAATAGTCATATCAGGGAAACTTGAAGCTTATTATGTGGGAAGGAAAGAGCGATAGAGAGAAAGAAAGAAAAAAGAAAGAAAGCTTTTTAATATAGGAATTCTATTTTTTTATAATTTTTATTAAATGTTTTGATCTTTAAAAACAATAGGAAAGACACAGCAAAGAAAAAGAAACACAATAAGAGAAAACAAAACACAGAACATACATAACAATATACAGTAATTTTACAGCTTTCTCTATCGGCTTTCCTTATTAGTTTTTATAATTCTCCCTTCTGCATTGCCTTCCTCTCACTATAACCTTGTCCTATAATGTAACAAACATAGTATTANAGCAAAGATCTTTCAGCATGATGCTACTCACCTTTAATAACATCCTGAATATACATGCAGAAATGATCCCTCGAGTCGTCCATTTGCAATCTGGTCCCCATCGGAACCATTGTGCTCTTACCTTATCTGGACGCGGAGGGTGTGTGAGGAGGAGGAGAGGGTTGTAATGGAAAATCAGATTATTATTATTATTATTATTATTATTTTGCTGATTATTTTAATCCCTACTTTCAAGATTTGCTGGATGCTGGGTGAAGAATTGCCATTTTTAAAACTAGAAACAGCAAGAGAGCTGTTTTTACTTTTAGTATTATGTTCTGGGACTCGGCCTGGATGTCTCAATTTGCAAGTTATACTGCCATCTCCTTTCAGTAGAAGGCAGCTACTGAACTTACAGTGGAAGGGAGGGGAAAATGGAAATTTCTTTTCGGGTTCCTTCCTTTCATTTCTGTCCCCTGGTGCTCAGTCAGCCAATCAATCATGGAAATGAAAATAGGAGGATAGAGATACTATATATCATGGGTCCCTCCCCACCAATCCTCAGTTCTGTGTAACTTAATCCACACCATCTGTAGCCCAAACTCTCTCCTTTGGCCTACTGTCCGTGTTAGTGTTTTGTCCTGGATCACAGTGAAATGATCATATTTCCCATTCCAGTTTGTGATTTTGGTGAAACAATTGGAAGATGCTCAGCGGAGATCCCAGCAGAAAGGAAAACCCACCAGCAGCCACACCATTTTTCTCCCTTTCTGTCCTGCGCTGCCTTCTGTTCCTGAAAATATCTCTGCTGAAAAATAAGTGTCATCACATCTGGATGTTTGAATCAAGGTTGTTGGATGGAGAGACGCTAATTTTATGTTGACAATTGGTGAGAAGAGCTTAAAAAAGCAAAAAAAGAATTATTTTCCACAATAAAATAAAAACCGTTCCTTTTCAGACAACCTGTGTGATTGATCTCATGCAGCAATTTATTGCGTTGGTAATGCTTTAAGTGGAACTCGACAAAGGAGACGGCGGGGGTGGGGGGGGAATAACAATGTCTCTTTAGAGGCATACGTGACCATTTGTTACTCTCCACTTGAACCAGGAAAAACTCCTGGCATCCAAAGTGGCATTTCTAGGCATGTCAAATATATCTTTACATGAAATGGGATCAAGACCCTTTTCTCTGTTGTTCCAGAGCGTGGGACATGGGATATTGGGTTTAAGTTACAGGAAGACGAATTCCAATTGTTTTTTTCACTGTGATGTTTTTTTCTAGCTTTTTGATAGGGCTAACTAGTCGAAGCAATGGGCAACCGTCTCTCGAGGATGCTCTAGACTAGAGTTTGGGTTGCATTGAGCAGAGGGTTGGACACAGTGGTCTTAAGTGTTCTATTTCTTCAATTTTACCTCCAGGTTTATGAAGATAGATCAGGTGTTTTTCAACCTCAGCAATTTTTAAGATGTGTGGGGAATTCTGGGAGCTGAAGTCCACACGTCTTAAAGTTGCGGAGGTTGAGAGAGACTGCCCTATAGCAACAAGGAGTATTCTGTTATGGGAATCCCAGGTACCATTCATTTACCTGCTGATATTTTCCCAAACACTTTTCAAAAGCAACCAACCTCCCCTCCCCTCTCTTTTCCCAACCCCTGCTTCCTACCTTGCTATCCTCGATTTATGCAAAGCCCTATATTATTATTAGCATTATTATGTAATCCAGCTGTCAAAGCTCCAGGACACTTCCTGGCAATTTTAGTACTGATGTGTTTGAACGAAATACATGGAAGGGCACTTTACCACACCAATGACTTCTTGTTGCAGCCCATGTTGCTTCGTGAAGCAAAAAAGATATTTTCTATCAAAACCTAGATTTCCTCCCGCTTTTTAACGGGTGGGGGACATGCAGTTTGAGAAATAGCAAATTGAGAAATTGCTGCTTTCTGAAATCCCAGAATTCTGAGCTGCTCAGGTTCTCCGTACTTCTTTAATGAGCATTTGTTTAGCATGAATGCTGCTATTTATATTGGTAATGCAAACGCCACACAATTCCACTCGGTTAGCTTTTTATAGGATTACTTCTTGATTATTCCGTTTCAAATTGAACAATCCAGGCACTGCATTTGTTTTGATTCTGATAACTTTTCCCCCCGCAATTTCATTTTTTCTTTTTAATTATTTGCAGAATCCTGTGGAGCAGCAACTGGTAAAAAGCTACTAGTGCAAGTACTAGTGGAGTGTTGCCATTCTCCCTTCCTTATAGATTTTTTGGGAAAAGCACCTCCGTGGCACTGCTTTCAAAGCTCTTGAAAAGTACCTGAGCGTTATATAAATACGGATGTGGGCGTTGGGTATAAAAATTTTTGGCAGTAGGCTAATGGGGATCTCCTCTTGTGCGTCAGGATATGTACTCTGAAAAGAACATCCAAAGAATAAATAGTTGTGCAATGCTGATTGATTTTTTTTACACTCAGGCAATTTTACTCTGCCACGTGGCAGGTTCAGACACCAGATTAATAATTAAACAGAAAACTAGTTTACAAATCCTGTGTTAGCCAACCTTTTGCAAAAGAGGAAAATATGTTACTTTCTGGCAGTACTGAGAAAAAGAGACAGAATCATACGCCTGAGAAATTTTTTGATTGCAGAAAATACNAGGCTTGTGGTTGCATCTCCAACAATTAGGGGATAAATTTGGGTACATTTTGGCCAATCTCGCTGGAGGCAAATGCCATCTATAAAACATTTTATAGAGATTTTCTTTGTAAGCTACTGCCGTTGTAAATTTATAATTTCTTTCCCACAGTTTATCCCATTTTTCTAACTCTATTTAATATAGGAATTCTAAACTCTGCAATACAGTTTTTAAAAGAGTAGATTAGTGCAATACAATTAAGATAATATTTTCTGAAGGCCTAATTTTATAGGTTAGAATTAAAACTGATGGGTTTTGTTTAGTTGGTTTTATTATTTGCATGCCACCTCTATCCAATATTCAAAGAAATACTGTGTGATTCATAGAATAATAAAAGATGAAAGGACAATGGAGCAATAACAAATAAAACAATATTCTAAGAATTACAAAAGCATCACATTATAAAAACGCATATAGGCTGTTACATAGCAATGAGCCAGCATGGAAATCAGAAGTTGCCTCAAATCACTCTTCCCCCCACCCACCCCCAAAAAAAACCATTCTACAAAGGAGTTGATGTCAGTTTGCAAGAGGACGTTGTCTAAAAAGGCTTGTTTTC